ATCGTTGTTTGTATTTCTTTTAATTAACCTTATCGTTGTTTGTATTTCTTTTAATTAACCTTATCGTTGTTTGTATTATATTTTTGACCCTAATTAAATCAACAGGGGAAGCAGGGCCTTAGTACGATCATATTTAGGTAAATACGTATATTCTCCATCTATGGCAAATAATCTTAAAGACTGCCTTAAAAGACATGAGCATATTATGAAACAAGAAAAGAAAATTAATATTTCCAATGCCATGTTGGTATGTATTTTATTCACAATCAAGTTTCTTGTATATTATTGTCTAAAATAATATTAAATTTTCTTTCATATATTGTATTATAAAAGTCACGCTCGATTCGTGAATTTGACTCCCGCATAACATCTAAATGTTTTGGTTACGAAACTGTGGATCACTACTATCGAGATGCTAGCTCTTACTTTTATGTTACAAAAGTGCGTGTGCCTTTATTGTGCCTCAATGCTGAAGATGATCCCATTGTACCTGCCGAATGTCTCCCTTTTGATGAGACAATGTATGCTTATTCTAACAAAAATAATCCATTACGTTGATATTGAATGCTAACTTTATTTTATTCAATTTTATTATATTTAGATATAATCCAAATTGTATATTGGCTACCACTTATAATGGCGGTCATCTTGGGTGGTTTACTGGTTTTCGATCTCCTACCAGATGGTGTATAAAACCACTTAGTGAATTTTGTATTGCTATATTCGAGGTAGCCCCTTTTTTTTTTTTATTGTTTATATATATATATTTATAAAATAATTATTCTTAAAGTTTTTCTTAACATATATTTTATTTGATACTAGGCCAACGATCCAAATGATGGATCAAAAACAATCTTAAAAACAAGCGAAGATACTTCTTCAAGCGAAGAAAGTACTGTTGTTGATAGTAATTAAATATTATAAATTTGTTGAATTAATGTTTTAGACGAATTTAGTGCTTGATTTATTCTTATAGACTAATATTCAGATCTATAAAACGTGGAATATCTGGATTAATTAATAATTTGAATAAGTTATTCTGATTTATTATACTAGATTAAACTTTTTTTTTGTAAGCGAATCGAAATATCTATAGATTTGGAATCCGCAATTCGTGAATAAATGAGAATAGCAATAGAAAAGATATTATATAAGATATTTAACTTAATTAAAATATCTTCATATAATTTTTGAATTAAATTTGCTTTGTTTTTATATACCAAGATTGGGTAAAATTTATTTTAAAATATTATAATTTTAATAAATTTTTTTTATTTTAATGTTTTTATATAAACATCTATAAAACCACTTTATTTATTTGGGCTAGGTACTGGAACAAGGGCTAAATTGGCAATTTTTTAAAAAGAAATTTTTTTAATTTAGAATAAGATTAGGATCATTTTCACTTAATACAAAAATAATTGTATTAATAAAATTTTGTATTTTCTTATGATTTACAGTATTATAATATTTGTAATATAAATTTTGATTTTCCGAAGATATATATAAATTTTTTTGTTGATTTGGGCCTTTTTCTCAGTACCTAGCCCAATATTGACTTAGTCGATAAGTAAGGTCGACTACAAACACTAATTATTACAGAAAGTTTTTTTCAAAAAAGATTATTATATTGCAAACAATTATTTCATAATGTGACTATATAACCTGCGCCATATAAGCTCTATTGCTAAATGCCGGTCTAGTTCCAAAATATTTCGACCCGAAAATTTGAGGATCCTCCCGTAAGAAATTGGAAAATTCGAAACAGCATACAAATACGCATGCATAATAATGCATTGTTCGATAATAAATGCTGTATTCACATAGATATTCGTTAATCGTCTAAATGAAAGATCTGATTTGTATTTTAACTTATGGGAGATTTAGAGTTAATAACTTCGTACAATGAAATTGTTTTATCGACTGCATGGAATATTGTCACGGGCTAAAAGTGGATCTACAAATCTGGAGCAGTAAACTCCTGACTAAAGTGGATTTACATAAGAATTCCAGATCAACTAATACATGAGGCTTACCTGCCGAATAAAAGAATTCTAAGAAGAATAACTGAAAATCAAGCAAGAAGATCTTGAAGATAAGCGAAGCAAAGACTTCGTTAGAAGAATTTATTATTATAAGCCCCTTGATTTATAATAGCTTCGCCATGATTCTTTAAATAATGTATAATGTAAAGTATCCCTAAGCCCCTTGAGCTCATTAGAATAGAATAAGCTATAAAAGCACTGAGAGTTCGCGTTAGTAAAAGGATATCCTCCGGGATTCCAATACTTCCTTAATAACACATTTAATATCCCACTCTGATAATTCCTCCTAATAAAATAAAATATTGTCAAATCACCAACGTCACGCCTCTGGCGAGTTGCTTTATCACATAAATTATATCTTTTTGTATATAAATTAATAAAACCATACAATTCACCCCGTAACAATATTAAAGATAAATCACCGTTTATTGACATAGATCCAAATGGACTTAAAGTGAATTATACAGGTAATATGAAATGAAGATCTCACAGAAACAGATTTAATTTTTGCTTTAATCATTTGCATTTAAAGAATGTCATCATAGCTTTTTAGTTTATTAAAAAAAAACTTTTAATTAAAGATCCTAATGACTATAATGCTGCTATCGTTCGAGCAGATCATCCAATCCCTTTGATATTTTACTTTGAAATTAAAATTATAAACAAAGGAAAGAATGGGTAATATCAATAATTATTCCTTTCATAAACATACCATTTGTTCTTGTGGTTTTTTATAATCTTTGACTCTATTTTCTCAATAGAATGATTGGAATCGGATATTGCACAAAACAAAGCGATGAAAAAATAGACGATACAGCCTATATAAATAATATGCTCATGCCTGGTAATAGTAAATTTTTTATTTTATTTTATTATTATTACGATTAACAACTATATCATATCATATCCTTAGGATAAGAATATAAGGAAAATAAGGAAATGAAAAAGGCGAGGAATATCAATCATGGGGGTGTGGTTACCATGGTGACGATGGGTATTCTTTTTGCTCAGGAAGTGGTGGGCCATATGGACCAGCATATACTACTGGTGATATAATCAGATGCAATTTAAATTTTAGAAATAAAATAGTATTTTATACTTAAAATGGAATTAACTTAGGTAACAAACATTTAGAAATTGTTATATTTTTAAAGTGAATTATAGAAATTTAATAATTATAAAATATTTTAAGGGATTGCAGCAGCATCTGTTGGTAATCCATTTGATCTCGTTGGGTTTGTATTTCTTTTAATTAACCTTATCGTTGTTTGTATTTCTTTTAATTAACCTTATCGTTGTTTGTATTTCTTTTAATTAACCTTATCGTTGTTTGTATTTCTTTT